ACATTTGAATTGAGAAAGCTTCCTGGAGAGGAAGGGAAACGTCTTCAAATCTTGGAAACAGAGTCCAGTGGATATTTTTTTTTGAATTTTTACGGAATGACTGATGTTAAAATTTATGTACATATATAATATTGATGTATTTATTTGTTTTTATCTTTAATTAAGCTGAATACTCCTAAATGAGTTGCAGGGCCAAGGCCACCCCTCTTCCCCCATCTAGCTCCGCCCCCAGACTCCAGTTGAGTTCTGGTTGGTTCTGCTGAACTTGACACGAACAGAACTTCAGGGCAGCATCTCAGCCTGTCAGAGGAAGGATGAAAACATAATGTCTGACACGCTGTTTCCTGTCTGCAGCCTGTTTGAGGAGGAAGTGATGTCATACGTGCCGTCGCTGCTCCACCCGGGTTACAGCCTGTCCTCTCCTCAGAGCTCTCCTGGTAAATCCGTCTCATTTCATCACATCGCCGCCTTTCAATCATCCAACGCTGCAGTTTGTTGATAAAATGATAACGAGTCGAATGGTGGAGTGGATCAGAGATGAACCAGAGAGGTTCTCCTCAGCCGGGGCCGTTAGTTAACGAGCCTTTAGTTAACCAGCCTTTAGTTAACGAGCCTTTAGTTAACGAGCCTTTAGTTAACNTTATTGTGGCCCCCGGCAGGGATTCCCTCACACTCATTGTTGCCATAAAGTGACCCGTGGGGGACAGACTGGTCCCAGAACTGGGATGCGACCTGAACTGTAGTGCGTTCTCTTGTCGCAGGTGGTGGATGACTCCCGGCAGACGGGTCTGCCCGCCATGCCCCGCCCCTCCAGCACCTTCAGTGGTTCCAGTCGGAGCCCCTACCACGATGTGGTGCCTGTGGGTAAGTCCGCCGGGACGACCAGGGCCTGGAAACACACATGAACGCTCCTCTCACTCTCCTCTGTTTCCTTCAGCCTATAATGACAAGATAGTGGCGTTTCTACGGCAACCCAACATCTATGAGATCCTGCAGGAGCGGCAGCCGGAGCTGTCCAGGAATCCGTCCCTAAAGTAAGGCGCTGTCCTCGTCCATCATGGCCGCCCCGGACGCTTCTGAGCTTTGGTCCTGATGGTTTTCTGCCGCTTGCAGGGAGAAGGTGCAGTTCATCCGCAGTGAGGGGGTCAACGGGCTGGCTCGTCTCTCCAGTGACGCCGACCTGGTCATGCTGCTCAGGTGAGCGCGTCTTTCTCAAGAACTTCCTGGGACGTTTGAACTTTGGCCGTTTGCAGCTCGTTCTGGAAACGCACATTAAAGCTGTCCTGTCAGAATCCGGTCTGGATCCGGTCCGGTCCAGTGTAGTCAAGTCCGGTCAGGATCAAGTCCAATTCACGTCCAGCTGCAGGACGTCCTGCAGCTGGACG